CCCCCCACCTTATACCAGAGGACCCCCCACCTTATACCAGAGGACCCCCTTAGGGTAACCCTAACCCTAGTCTGACATTGAATACTTCTGCCTGTTGTCTCCAACATATGACCCGTCTCAGCCAATCACTGAGGGTTCTGATCCAATGGTTGGACTGAGGGAGGCGATAGTTTTTTGTCTTCCCCCCCGGGGGCCACAGCCAGAAGCTCCTCCCTCCCAGGGGCCGCAGCCTGAAGCTCCTCCCCCCTGACACCGAGATGGCGCCTCCACGGGCGGATACTCACTCCCCACCGGCTCCCCGCTCCAGGTGAACCTCTCCCAGTCCTCGTCATCTTCCTCCACGAAGGCTTTCAGGCTGTTCACAGCGCGCTTCGATTCTTTCAGCTGGAAGAGGAAGCAACAGGAAGTGAGGCCGCAATTCACTACAGGGGACACACCACCCCGAGCCCTCTCTGTGCAGGGACGGAGGACAAGAATGACACGTCATTACCTGAGACAGTCCGTCCTCATCGTGATCATCAAAGGTGAACGCCTTACACTTGGAGGTGTTCCAGTAATCTTCATCCTCCTTGACCCGGGACATCCGGAGCGCAGAGAGAGACACACGAGGGGGAGAATGGAAGGGTCACCACCTGCAGAGAGACAGAGCGTCACACCCCGGGGTACAGCCAGAGCATTGCCACCCCTCCCCCGACACAGCCAGAGCGTCACACCCCGGGGTACAGCCAGAGCATTGCCACCCCTCCCCCGACACAGCCAGAGCGTCACACCCCGGGGTACAGCCAGAGCATTGCCACCCCTCCCCCGACACAGCCAGAGCGTCACACCCCGGGGTACAGCCAGAGCATTGCCACCCCTCCCCCGACACAGCCAGAGCGTCACACCCCGGGGTACAGCCAGAGCATTGCCACCCCTCCCCCGACACAGCCAGAGCGTCACACCCCGGGGTACAGCCAGAGCATTGCCACCCCTCCCCCGACACAGCCAGAGCGTCACACCCCGGGGTACAGCCAGAGCATTGCCACCCCTCCCCCGACACAGCCAGAGCGTCACACCCCGGGGTACAGCCAGAGCATTGCCACCCCTCCCCCGACACAGCCAGAGCGTCACACCCCGGGGTACAGCCAGAGCATTGCCACCCCTCCCCCGACACAGCCAGAGCGTCACACCCCGGGGTACAGCCAGAGCATTGCCACCCCTCCCCCGACACAGCCAGAGCGTCACACCCCGGGGTACAGCCAGAGCATTGCCACCCCTCCCCCGACACAGCCAGAGCGTCACACCCCGGGGTACAGCCAGAGCATTGCCACCCCTCCCCCGACACAGCCAGAGCGTCACACCCCGGGGTACAGCCAGAGCATTGCCACCCCTCCCCCGACACAGCCAGAGCGTCACACCCCGGGGTACAGCCAGAGCATTGCCACCCCTCCCCCGACACAGCCAGAGCGTCACACCCCGGGGTACAGCCAGAGCATTGCCACCCCTCCCCCGACACAGCCAGAGCGTCACACCCCGGGGTACAGCCAGAGCATTGCCACCCCTCCCCCGACACAGCCAGAGCGTCACACCCCGGGGTACAGCCAGAGCATTGCCACCCCTCCCCCGACACAGCCAGAGCGTCACACCCCGGGGTACAGCCAGAGCATTGCCACCCCTCCCCCGACACAGCCAGAGCGTCACACCCCGGGGTACAGCCAGAGCATTGCCACCCCTCCCCCGACACAGCCAGAGCGTCACACCCCGGGGTACAGCCAGAGCATTGCCACCCCTCCCCCGACACAGCCAGAGCATCACACCCCGGGGTACAGCCAGAGACAGAGCATTGCCACCCCTCCCCCGACACAGCCAGAGCATCACACCCCGGGGTACAGCCAGAGACAGAGCATTGCCACCCCTCCCCCGACACAGCCAGAGCGTCACACCCCGGGGTACAGAAGGAGACAGAGCATTGCCACCCCTCCCCCGACACAGCCAGAGCATCACACCCCGGGGTACAGAAAGAGACAGAGCATTGCCACCCCTCCCCCGACACAGCCAGAGCATCACACCCCGGGGTACAGCCAGAGACAGAGCATTGCCAACCCTCCCCCGACACAGCCAGAGCGTCACACCCCGGGGTACAGAAGGAGACAGAGCATTGCCACCCCTCCCCCGACACAGCCAGAGCGTCACACCCCGGGGTACAGCCAGAGACAGAGCATTGCCAACCCTCCCCCGACACAGCCAGAGCGTCACACCCCGGGGTACAGAAGGAGACAGAGCATTGCCACCCCTCCCCCGACACAGCCAGAGCATCACACCCCGGGGTACAGAAGGAGACAGAGCATTGCCACCCCTCCCCCGATACAGCCAGAGCATCACACCCCGGGGTACAGCCAGAGACAGAGCATTGCCACCCACCCCAGCAGTGAGGTCATAATGGAGCCTATAATATCATGGACAACGAATGTGGAGTTCAGGAAGCATTCAGTCCAATGTAGCACACGCAGAAAATCCTCGCCACAGATACTGTCCGGCCTGGGGGGGGTTCACAGAGTAAGGGTAGAGCAGGGTGACAGAACCAGGGATCCCTCTGCCGCGGGGCGCACTGGGAGATGTAGTCCACGCAGCCCTTCACCGCAGCACACAAGGAACTACAGTCCCAGCAACTTCCGGCTCAATGACGTCACCACAGACTCCGCCCCGCCTATATAGTGTTGGACCAAATACAAGGCATGACCATGAAATTGTGTATATCATAGATGTAGATATTATAGGGGAGGGACCATTATATATTCTATATACCGAGAGCGTGTACACTGCTCGGCATAGCCCCTCCTACTCAGCATAGCCCCTCCTACTCAGCATAGCCCCTCCTACTCAGCATAGCCCCTCCCAACCAACACAGGAGAAGCCTCTACCGCTGGATCACCGCAGCCTCAGAGCACTCTAATAGGAATATAATTGGCCTCTTTAGTCGGTCTCCAAGGCAGCGACTTCCGGAGGGATGGCATTACGCTCTCAGTGTCTCCGGTCTACGGGCGGCGCCATCTTGCTGGGGTCTGGCTGGAGGGAAGGAAAGGACCTGGTCTCCGGGAAAATGGCGGAAAGCAGGAAGGGGCGGAGCCGGAGGCGGGTCGGCCGGCTTTCCAGGCTCTTCTAGTAACTTCTACGGCCGATAAAAGTGACTGAGGAGACAGACCGCGAGCAGCTCAGCACCGACATGGCCAAGTGGGGGCAGGGAGACCCGAGATGGATCGTGGAGCAGAGGGCGGACGCCACCAACGTCAACAACTGGCACTGGTGAGGCCGACATCCGCCGTGACCCACATACATATATACATACATGGGGGGGGGGTCAAATCTGGTGCAGATGTCAATGGCAACCAATCAGCTTCTCTTATCAGTTTGTTCAGGTAAAGATTTGAAAATGAAAGAGAGAAGCTGATTGGTTGCCATTAAAACCTGCTCCAGAATTCCCTGTCCTCTGTATACATTGTCCTCCTCTGTATACATTGTCCTCCTCTGTATACATTGTCCTCCTCTGTATACATTGTCCTCCTCTGTATACATTGTCCTCCTCTGTATACATTGTCCTCC